CATCGTTGTTAAATTTTGAAATCAGTCGATAAAAATGAAATCTTTACCCAAGAAACAACCATCACCTGTGATCACATGAACATGCTGTTGAGGAAGCACTGCAGGATTTTTATGAACCATTTAAACTGAACACAATATAACACGATGTTGTTTGAGCTCACATAAACGACAACTTCTACCTTATTCTCACTATTTAAAGATTACAGTTCGAAACAACAATCGACACTTGTTTTTTTGTCACTTAACACCTACAATCTTTCACAATATCAGATTCGTCCTAAATTCCAATAAAGTTCATTGTGTATGAAATATAAAACTCGTCTACTGTGCGCTATTGACAAAACTAAATAGATGGAACTAGAATTTCGATCACGCCGATGACGGAATCCTTTACTTAAAAGACTTTCGTTGATCAATGATAGAAACATTTCTATTATCAGTTGAATCAATCAACAAGTTTGCATGTGATTCATATGAACACGACGAGAAAATATCGATCTCAATGTAAAACATGATCAACGAATTTATTGTCGTGCTTATCGATGCGAGTCAATATATTCGCAACAACGGACGATGTGTTCACTAAAATATCGATTGATTCTTCCAGAAGACCGACTTCAAAGTGAAACAAAGAAAATAGTTTTTCAAAATAAATCAATATGTCCGTTGTTTCGAATTGATCGTCAACTCCATGTAGAACTATCAATCAAAACCGGTATCAAGTACAAATCGTACCAACGGACTAGGTTTCGTCGCCATCTCTCTCATTAGAAGATTTCATAGATGATAAATAGCCAAGATTTTTTTAGTCTTATACAAATACCAACATTTTTTGTCATTTCATTCTTATGAAACCTTTTTTTGGACTAACACTACAACTTATATAGAAAGTATAAACAATGCATTGGATTCAACGTAAAGTTATTATTGAAGCAAGTCGACAGCCAAAATAAACGTGATGACGATGCAATAGCAGATAAGAATATAAAATGCTTTAACAGAAAAATCAGATGGAATCAAGATTGTATTTGTATTGTTGTAAGTTTATCTTGGATAAAAATGTACAAAAAATGACGTACTCGTTAGTTGTTTGAATTCATCAATACAATGAATGGTATAATTGGCCGTTTAACAGATGGAAAACAACAAGATATCTCGTTAACGAAGTAGATGATTCTATCCGAATAATAACTAATTTGAAGAATACGAACCTGTTCATGCGGTGACCGTGCATTTCTTCAATCAAACGTAATTTTGAACAAAATTTGATAGATGGAACATGAAGACATGACAATATTTCCGTGAAAAGTATTAATGAGACTTCTCCATCTAACGGTTATTTTAAATATTCTACTTACGACAGATCGAATTTAGACAACAGTCTCAAGCGATATTGAACATTTCAGTTTTAGTGCTTTGATCAGTGAGAAGTGAACATTAATCTGAATATGATCTGCTTTCACAACGATTTTTAGTTTCGTAATCATAAATAGCTGTATTATCAAGTACTGCAGAATTAATAGATGATTCATATGGAGTATTAGCATCGCTTCGGGGGTATATGTGGGTGTGTTCTCTTTGTTGAAGAATTCAAAGAAAAGAGAAATATTTTAAGAAAATCTTAGCCTTCGTATCTGGTATGTATTCTTTTGTCCCAGCAGCACTGTAGTTCTTATAACATGACACACACTGACAATTCGGCCGAACTCACTTTGAGGGTGTGGGGGCAAGGGGGAAAAAGCGGATCCTGGCATCCATTAGGATCCGCCAGGATCCGCTTGGATCCATCAGGATTCATCAGAATCCATCAGGATCCAGTAGGATCCGTTAGGATCCATTAGGATCCATTAGGATCCACCAGAATCCATTAGAACTCATTATCATTTATGAAGATAGATTAATGTTCTGAATAGCCACAAAAGCAAGGAAATCTACCAGATTCATAAAATAAGGATGCATAATTGAAAATATGTTCTGGATGAATCAATGTGAGCTCCGTGTGCTATTTATACAACTATGACTAGTCTACTTTACAAAGGAAAAACGGACTTTGAGACATCCCACGATCTATTGGACCCCATCCGAAGCCATAAAAGTACATGGAAACAAAGTAAACAGACGAAGATTGGCCCTAGAATTTTTGAAAACAAAGAAAAAAGAAATCTCGGAGATTGAGAGCCTGGTGGGCCCCGATGAACTTTTGAGTATCTGAATGCGTTCTGTGGTTTATACGATAGAATAAGATCCATCAAGATTTAGGTGTTCCTGATTGGTTTCAGATTATTATGATGCTTGCTAATTTCTGCTGAATTCTTCTGGATTTCAAAAGATTGTACTAGATAGTGTTGAATTTTTGCTAGAGAAAAGCTCAAGTCTTTTTGAACTAGATTTCTGAGATAGGCAGGAACGGCGCTGCACAGGTGCACCATTTTTTTCGGGGGAAAATGCGAAAAACGGGAAAAAGTGTGTACCCATAAAATTTTAAGATGCCGACAGAATTTTAATTGAGATTCAATCAAGATCGTAACAGTTTCTTGGTATTTCCCAATCATATATCGTCGAAGAAGCTGCTGAATCTTGAGAAAGCCGTGCAGCCACGGAATTTCAAGACCTCGACAAGGTTCATAACAGGATTCTATCAGTATCCTGAGCAGTTTAAAAATGCAATTAAANCGAAGAAATGATGTTATTTTTGAAAGATCAACGTTACGAAACTGATCTTATATTCGTTAAAAAGAATCATTTTCCACATTTACATCGTTTAGCATTGAAAGTTTTATGCATTCCAGCTACATTTGCTCCTGCTGAACGGATCTTCTCACAAAGTGTATTATCATTACTGGAATTGCTCTATCTTCAGCAGATTTAACTGTACCCAAATCACTAGCTAGTTCATTTATACGAACATAAAAAAGAAAAACCTTTGTCCATAGCAGATGAATATGTTTTCAAATTAAATAAAACAACAACTATCAAGTATTGGAAATGTACACTAATGGATATTCAGCAAGAATTCATGGAAATTTGCATGATTAACATATGTATATTCAATTTAAAGCAGGTGTAGGAGCAAGATCGAAATCAGCCAAAACAATTCCAATTCAATGTCGTACTGATCATCTTGGTGAACGACATTATGTGACGGTATTATAGATGCTATGGAATACTTAGATAGTTTATCATCTACAGTTGCTAAACAAACAGAATGATACTTGATAAATTTTTTCTTTCTGATTTTTTGACTTATGCTTGGTCTCTGTTAGAATGTTAACATTAACTTCTGGAATAAAGCATGTCTTTCGCTAGCCAGAATTTTCTAAAACACTTCGACCATTTTTCACGTCGATATTCTTATTTTTTGACATTTTTCATTTTCGATATTTTTTCTTTCCATATTTTTTTACAGCCAACCGATGAAAATCATGCTGAAGTTAATTATATGAGAATCTTCACCGTTACTATTGTGAAACAAAATCTAAGTTATAATCTATGATAATTTTGATTATGTCTACAGTGTGCCAATAGGACGGGTACTGCCTATGTTCAAGTTTTATCGGTTCGATAATGTGAGAGCATTCGGTCACTATGCGTCTAGAAATTTTGACCTCATGAACGATAATATAGCTGCCTGCTCATTCTGCCCTCTATTCACTATTTCCTCTCCTCTGACTTCTCTCTTTTGCTTCGTTTCCTTTCTTGGATATAAGCTTGTGTTCTATGTGAAGCAGATACCATTGAAGTGATGGAATAGTCTAGTGAACATCTATGTTGAGGGTGACAGTAACACTACACCTCCAGTTTGTCATTATTGATCACAATAAAGTATACATTGCAATAGTAACGAAATAGAACATCATCTATCTATCTCTCATTTTCATTACACACAAGATTTTGAAATTTTAATTGATTGTAATCGCTAAAATTTTTTGCTGGATGCTACCAAGAAATAAAATCAAAATTGACTTGATTTCATCTACCTGAATACTTTCTTCATGAGAGCTTTTTTTACTTGAGCTGGTTTTCGAAAGATTTTTCCAGAAAAACAAGCGTGTCAATCTAT